AAGCAGGAGGATCGCTTGAGCCCAGGAGTTTGAGGTTGCTGTGAGCTGGGCTCATGCCAGGGTACTCAACCCAGGGTGACAGAGTGAGACTTTGTCTCAATAAATAAATAAAATAAATTTTTTTTTTTTTTTTTTTTTTTGGAGACAGAGTCTCGCTTTGTTGCACAGGCTAGAGTGAGTGCCATGGCGTCAGCCTAGCTCACAGCAACCTCAAACTCCTGGGCTCGAGCAATCCTTCTGCCTCAGCCTCCCAAGTAGCTGGGGACTACAGGCATGCGCCACCACGCCCGGTAATTTGTATATACTATATATTAGTTGGCCAATTAATTCTTTCTGTAACTAAGTAGAGACGGGTCTTGCTCTGCTCAGCTGGTTTTGAACTCCTGGTTGAGCCGGGCAATCCAACCGCCTCGGCCTCCCAGAGTGCTAGGATTACAGGCTTGAGCCACCGCGCCCGGCCAATAAAATAAATTTTTGAGATAGAATAACTTAAACTTTACAAAAAGTTGCAAAAAACAAGAACCCAAGAGTTTAGTAGTGAGTAAACTCTTCACCTCGATCTGCCTTATAATTAATTTTCTAAACCAGATTTATAAATCTTATTCCCTCTCATTTGTTTTGACAGGCTTCGAATATAAACATCATAGATCACCTGGCCAGTACCTGCTCCATAGCCACTTGGTCTGGATGTGTAGGAAGGAGTGAGCCCTGCACACTTGTCTTTCTTGCCTTCCCAGGTGACCAGCAGTAGGCTAGGGCAGGCACACACCTGTCCCGCCTCTCCCTGTGGTCGGGGCATGGACAGGGTACACCTATCCGCCTTTGCGGCTGGTCAGGGAGGTCGCTAGGGCACGCCTCATACAGTTGGTAGGTGGGGACTCTGGACACAGCCCATCCTCCCCTCACCAGCCCTGCCCACGTGGGGTTCTGACCCAGACTCAAGGGGTGGGAAGTAGGACCGTCCCTGGGTCCTCTAGGTCCACGATGTCATCCTCCGTCCTTCACTTGCCTTCCCTTTTCGCACCTGGCTTTTCACTGGCCGTTCCCCTTGCCTGGAGATCCGCCCAGCTGTCCCAGGCTGTGCCTGCCTGCCCTTGAGTTTTTCCTCAAAATTGGCCTCCTCACAAGGGCTTCCCGGGTTCCTGTTTGAAATGACATTCCTTGGCCGCCCCGTCCCTGAGTTTGCTCCATCTCGTTCTGCACAGGCATCACCCATTGTCCTTATTCGTGGTGCTGTGGTCGCTCGGTGCCAGAACGTGACCCCTCGAAGCAAGGTCTGGATTACGTGTTTTGTTCCGTGGCAGGCGCTGGTGGGGAGCCGTGGGCGTCGGGCCTGGGGACAGACAGCATGCTGCACAGACATGGGCGCTGGGCCTGGGAACTGCATGCTGCACATACATGGGTGCAGGGGCCTGGGGACAGACAGCATGCTGCACAGATGCGAGCGCCGGGCCTGGGGACAGGCGGCCGAGTCCTCCAAGCGCTGGGCATCCTCCGCCAGCAGCGACCCTGGAGGTGATGCCCGGTGCCGCCATCCCAGCCCCAGTCTAGCGCAGGCGGCCCCTCAAGCTGCCCAGAGAGGTGGGAAGGCCCAAGTTGGACCCGCCCTCCTCTTCCTTCCCCTCCTTCCTCCTCCTCCTCCTCTTACTCCAAGGGACAAGAGAGAGAAGGACTGGGGTGGGGAGGACAGACACAAGCCTGCGCAGGGACAGCCATCCTCATTTTTAAAGGTTTTGTTCTGTGGCCCGGAATTCTGGCTGGAGGCACCAGCCCTCCAGCACGGAGACACAATGCTTTGCTCCCAAAGCCTAGCCTTCAGGACAGATCCTTTGGAGCTTCCTGCCGCGCAGTTCCTCCAGAGCAGAGACCCCGCACGACCAGGGGGTGGGGGTGGGGGTGGAGAGGCAAGAGGAGCCAGAGAGGAGTGCCAGTCCCGGGGAGCCCCGGAAGCCTGCATGTAAGTCCAGTTTCTCTGTCCTTGTCTCTATCATTGCTGAGCAGAAGGACAACCGAGCAAAATATGAATTTTACTCACTATGAAGGGTATGCACTGTTTTCAGCAGTTTTCCAACAAGGCAGCATGGCGACATTTAAAAATATTTTACGTCTTTCCTAAAGTGAAATACAGATTACAGCAGAATCAAGGTGGCTAAGATACAATAAAGAACTCGAAGTAGAGATTACACAAGTGAAGATACATGATTTTGGGTAAAAGTACAATGAGTACTAACCTCAAAAAGAATGTCAAGTGCATTTTTTTTCTGGTCCAAAACAAACAAAAAAAGGTGGTCACATCCTCCATTCTGAGTTCACTTCTCGAGGTCCCTGGGCCTGCTCCTAAGCTCAGGGGTGACCCAGTGGCCAGGAGGTGACAGCAAGGTTTGTTGGTTTCTTTGGTTTGGGTTTAATGAAGGCCACTCTGGCAGGGCAGAGGTAGGTTGATCTGGGCAGTGGTGAGAGGGGCAGGAGCCAGGGCCTGGGGGAGGGGAGAAGGGGACAGTGGCTTGGAGGATTTTGGCTAAAGAGAAATGGGGGAGGGGCAGGGGCATGTGAAAAACAGACAATGAGCAAAGCTGATGTTAACTCAGAACCAGATATTCCCGGACACTGGGAAATCAAGAATCTTCTGCATTTGGCCTCTTCTAAACTGGGAAAGTACACACCTGTTCCTGATAATTTAATTTGGAGTGAAGTTAAGAAGCCTGTTGTCCTCAGGCTCCTCTGGCCAATGAGATTCACGGAATCTAGGAAGGAGTACTATCCAGGCTTGAGGTAAGGAAGGTGGTGTCCCCTCTTGCCCCTTGGGAGGGGTGGGGGCTGAGATTCAAAACCCAGCAGCATTTCCCTCCAAACGACTCTCTGCAGATCCTTCCTACCCACTCCTCACTCCATCCTTGCAGGTCTTCCTGTTGGACAGGGTGGCTTCTCAGACAATCCCACATCTTGGTTTGGAGCCTCACTTTGGCACCTCACACGCATTTTACTAATGTCTCAGCTGACCTGCTTGTCTCTGCTTGCTATGCACAAGTCTGTATAATTCCTTTGGCCACCCTTTATTTTTATTGTTATTTGAGACAGAGTCTGTGTTGCCCTGGCTAGAGCGCCGTGGCGTCAGCCTAGCTCACAGCAACCTCAAACTCCTGGGCTCAAGCAATCAATCCTTCTGCCTCAGCCTCCTGAGTAGCTGACACTACACACATGTGCCACCATGGCTGGCTAATTTTTTCTATATATTTTTAGTTGGCCAATTAATTTCTATTTTTAGTAGAGACGGGGTCTCGTTCTTGCTCAGGCTGGTTTCAAACTCCTGACCTTGAGTGATCCTCCCACCTCAGCCTCCCAGAGGGCTAGGATTATAGGCGTGAGCCACCACGCCCTGCCTGGCCACTCTTTACATGGAATTTAGAAACTGAATTTACCTAATTTCCCTTTTCAATTTCTTGTCTCCTGATTAGAACACTCTTGCTGCAAGGCACACACCTGAGCCAAGCCCACTCTATTCCCCAGAGTGCCATAGTGAAGCTACACCTACAGTAAACACACTCTCTGCCCTTATTGCAAATCTTTTTCCTTACTTAGGATAATCGCTACCATGTATGATACATACCCCAAATTGATAAGGGCTTAAAATAGGATTTCTCATTTTAAAAGAAGTCTTGGAGTAGGTGAACTGGGGCTATTTTGGTGGTTCCACATAGTAACCAGTGACTCAGGATCCTTCTAGTTCAAAAGGATCCTACCTTGATTGAGGGTATAGGTGAGCTGTCCTTGTGGCCCAAGACTGAGCCAGAGCTGAAGGTATGGCCAATGTAACTGCTTCCTGACAGCAGGACAGAGGAGTGAGGAAGAATGGTCTGTTGAACTAAAATCCCCACGAGTCTAGTCTCTTTCTACTTCATTGGCCAGAACTTAATCACATGTCAAACCTAGCTATATATTGAACTGGAAAGTCAAGTTTTTTAGGTGGATCCCTTGAAACACTGGGCTTCAGAAGTAGTAAAGAAGGGGTGGGGGATGAAGAGGAAACTGCCATCTGTGCCACTGTACATGTCAGGATGCTTTCTGTCTCAAATTTTTCCATTCCAATATCCTATCTCACAACCCTACCCTAAACCTAGCACTCTTATCAAAGACTGGGGAAGCCACAGGGTGACAAGATGTCATCTATTGGTTCAAGGATAATGGACCCTTCTGCAGGGTTTTCTATTCTTTCTTTACATTGGAGAAATGCAATTAGGGTTGGCCTTTAGGGCCCATAAAAGTAGCATCTAACTCTGATGAGCTCCCCACTACCCTAATGCTTCTTCCTCTTAGAATCAGTGCTTGGTCACTTTCTCTCTTTTATTATTTATTTTTAGAGACAGGGTCTTGCTGTCACCCAGTGATGCAGTCATAGTCCACTACAGCATTGAAATTCTGGGTTCAAGCGATCCTCCTGCCTCAGCCTCCTGAGTAGCTGGGACTACTGGCTCACACCATCATACCTGGTTCATTTTTAGAATTTTTTTTAGAGATGGGGGTCTATGTTGCCCAGGCTCACTTTCTAAGAGAGTTCAATATGACTGCTTTATTTATAAGCAGTTATTAGCTAACTTTTTAGTCTTTCATCTGTGCACATGATTTAACTCTCAGTTAAGGTACTAAGGTATGGCCCAGACATCTCTGTTAGGTGATTCTGATGTACCTTAAGGTGAATTAACACATTAAGACAACTGGGCCACTTTGGAAAAATGCTAATGCCCAGTACTACCCTCAGAAATTTGGGCATAGTTGGTCTGGAGTGTGTCCTGGGTATAGGTAATTTTCATTATCCCAAGGAATTCTAATGTGCAGAGGGCTGTGAACCACAGCTCCAAGTCAGCTATGTGCATGCCTGTGTTTGGGGTAGGTGCTCAGCCCTGGACCTCACACCTCTGCAGGGGCTTTCTACTATGCTTTTTGCCCTTAACCCTCCTATTTCTCCTCCCTCCTCAAAACCTAGTCAAAACATCAGGCAAAGGAAGTAGCAACATTTGTATTATTATATTATATGTCAAAATTTCCAGAATCAGGGTCTTCACTGGGCAAGTAGAAAAATAGAAAAGTTTACTACTTTTAAAAGGAAACTATAACAAACAAGTATACTTAGGAAGGGGGCTCCTAGAACTCAAGCAACCTCTAACCTCCAAAGAGTTTAGCCTCAGCACAGTGTAGTCTGCAGTGTCCCTGTAATGACAGAGATGAATGTGTGTACCCTACATCCTAGACTCGAGATGTAAGTGTCTCTACAGAGCTGGGTTTGAAGCACAGAGGCTTTTGTTGTTCCTACTAGCTGGCCCAGTCCTGGAACCGGAAGCAATCACTTGCAATCTTCCACACGGTGTTGCTGGATGAGGCCTGGGTGGTCAGGATGAAATTCTGGTTGAAGTCCCGTTGTTTGTTGCCCTCAAACTTCACTGTTCCACAGATCACAACGAGGACTGTGGTCTGGCTTGGCGTGGCTTCATCATGAACAGGCTGGCAGTCTACCACATTAATCTGGAACTCACTGGAAGGCAACATTTCGAAAAACTCACTCAAAGATTCCTGTCCTGAAACGGCATTTCCATTCCAAATCAGGGTGGCTGTGCCCATGTACAGGCGGGAGAGCAAACGTCGCCGCTTATCCATGGTGGTGTAGTAGACATTGACAAACTCTTCAGCAGCTCTGCAGGCCTGATCCACATAGGTCTTAAAATCCACGGATGCCATCTCTGGTTCTGTGGCTGGAGACCTCCACCAGGGTGTTTCCTCTGACTTGGGGAGCCAGGAGCTGTAGGTAGAAAAGAACCCATGTAAAAGCCAAAGTACATTCTGCTCTGATGATGGAACAATCTTCCTTTCCTACCAGTGGCAAAACAGTTACAAACTGTAAAAGCCTCTGTTTGCTCATTGTAAAAAGGGAATATCACCACTGTGGTGTAGTTGTAATATGAGAATTAGATGAGAAAGTGTACATCAAGTGCTTAGTTAAAAAGCTTGATACCTACATGTTCATACTACAGTTGGCTCTCCGGTTTCACATTGAAGGAACCAACCAATTGTGGATCAAAACCCACAGATACAGAGGGCCAACTGTACCATGCCATTTTATATAAGGAACTTGAGCATGTATGGAATTTGGTATCCATGAAGGATCCTGGAACCAATCCCATGCAGATAAGGAAGGCCAATTGTACTACAAATTTTAAAAATCTGATGTTATAAAATAGAGTACATTTGACTATGGAAGGCCACTTTTCCTGAAAGCTTGGAATAGGTGTGACTGCCCCTGAGTAAAGACAGTGGACCAAGTTGAACGGAAGAGGGGCTATCAGCCCAATAAAGGTCAGTCAGACCAATGAAATATGCTCTTCAGCTGGTGAGTCTGGGAAAGCCTGTTCTGAGCCACCCAACAGCGACTGGGAGGGCAAAGAGAAGGCAGGCTTCTTAAGAGGGTAAAACAACAAAAGCCATGAGGTCAGGACCAAAACAGTGGCCATAATCCCCATGATAAGCTATAAGAAGCAAACCCTGTGGATGAGTAGGAATTAGAAGGGACAACACCCAGCTTCTATGGGTGCTAATACCTGCCCATCAGATCAATCAAATGGAGCTACAATGCCACAAGAATTCAAGACTTTCAATTGTAGCTGAACCGCCCCATTTCCTTCCTTAAATATAAGCTTATGAAAAAGGTAAGAGTCCACACAGAGCTGGGAAAGGGCTACTCTAGGGGCTGACAAAGGTGGTAGCATTGCCTCCATCGAAGAGCTGGGAGGAAGCCTGGTCCTAGACATGAGCAGGTAAGAGGCAATCTCAGATGCTGGTCTTTCTACTCCGTGTAAGGACCTCAAAGTTAAGCCTCAATAAACACTCTGAACTGGGTACAGGTATCCCTCGATATTTGTGGGGGATTGGTTCAAGGACCTCATAAAGACACTAACATCCGCAGATGCTCAGGTCCCTGATATAAAATGGTGCAGTATTTGCCTATAACCTATGCATATCCTCCCATATACTTTACACATGGACGGCCACACAAAAAATCAGAAACTTTTTCTTGGGGCCACACTGTTTTATTACAAAAATAGAACAAAAACTTCAACTGTAATTTAATGGTAAACATACGTAGAAAAACTAAATTATTGACTTTGAATAGTTGTTATGCTGTACTGTTTAAAAAATTAATGACCAGCCTGTACATGTTCAGTACAGACGAATACTTTTTTTTTCTGAATATTTTCAATCTATTTGGTTGAATCCACAGATGCAGAACCCAGGAATACGGAAGGTTGTTTTTGCTAAGTGCTTTACATACGCTACCTCACTTAAACCTCTTCACAAATGGATGAGGTTGTTACTGTTAACAGTTTTACAAACGGGAAAAGGGAAACTTAGAGCTGGACCGAGGCCACGAAAGTAAGTACACTCCTGATTTATCACCTGTAAGAAGGTGAGGGGCCCTGAAAATTTTGTCAAAACTATGCTGTCCTTTTACTTGCTTATTTTATAAGTTCCTGCACTTTTGAAAGCAAGTCTGTAGGAACACAACTCCAGGACTGCTGGTTTGGAAATTCCTTCCAGGGGCTAATTTCTCTCTTGCTGGAATTCCCAAGCACCCGACCTCGCCGTCACTCCTCCCTCCCAGAGCACCCCATCACCTCAATTCCGACTCCGAGACGCCCCTCTTCTCCAGCCCTGCTCCCAGCTCGCATTTAGCATCCCGCAATCTAACACTCCGCCACGCCTCCCATACCCAATAAAATGACCATCTCCACTTCTGGTTCACAAATACCTACAGGACTAATGGCCTGCCCGTGTCTGTCAAATCAGAGAGAGCGAGACCGTGAGTTAAGTGGAGTAACTTTTTTTTTTTGAGACAGTCTCACTTTGTTGCCCAGGCTAGAGTGAGTGCCGTGGCGTCAGCCCAGCTCACAGCAACCTCAAACTCCTGGGCTCAAGCAATCCTGCTGCCTCAGCCTCCCGAGTAGCTGGGACTACAGGCATGCGCCACCATGCCCGGCTAATTTTATATATATATTAGTTGGCCAATTAATTTCTTTCTATTTATAGTAGAAACGGGGTCTCGCTCTTGCTCAGGCTGGTTTCGAACTCCTGACCTCGAGCAATCCGCCCGCCTCAGCCTCCCAGAGTGCTAGGATTACAGGCGTGAGCCACCGCGCCCGGCTTAAGTGGAGTAACTTGTAAGAGGCTGTAGAGATCGCCTATTTCTCTCTGCGGCCCTCACCACGCAGCTCCGGAGCGGGACTAGCGACGCCGCCACAGCGGCGCAGGCCTCATTTCCCGCAGCGAGTCGCTTTTACTCAGACACCTGACAGAAGCACGCTCTTCCCCGCCACCTTCCCGCCTGGAAACTGCTCCGTGCGGGGACTCCCCTCGCCTCCACGAATGGCAAATCTGCTGCCACGCCTCTCGCACAGGCAAAAGCCTAATGCAGACCAGACCGCAAGGACACCACGTGACAATCGGCAAGCCCGCGTCCCATTCCGCTCGTCGCCGGGAGGGCGGGGAGGATGCACGTGGGGCGGTCTCGGGAGCCCTCCGCGCAGGCCTCGGGTCGCCGGCTGCCGGGCGGGGGCGGCAACCTACCTGCGCGGGGACGTTCGGGGCGGCGCCGGCCGCGGCGCTTACTATCGAGGCGCCCTCAGCGCGGGCCACAGCTCCACGGAGGGGTCAGCCCGGGTCACGGCGTGGGTCTGCCGAGGCCTCGGCGGGGACGCGGGACGAGCCGCCTTTCTCCTCTTCTCTTCCTCCCGGGACGCTCCGTTCGCGTCGCCGGGGCTCCTGAGCCCAGGGACGTTTCAGTGCCGTTACGCCGGTTCCCGCACGCGGCCAGCCGGGGTCCGCACCGACGCCGGCACCCCGGCCCTGCCCGCTCCCGCCTCCCCGTGACGGGCGGCTCAGTCAGTCAGCAGGCCGGGAGACTAGCTCCGCCCAGGTGTGGCTCGAAGGAGGCGGTGGCTTCCGGAGTAGCACCTTCCCAGAAGACCCCGGCAGATCCGCGCTCGAGTTTTCATTGGTCTAACCAGATCACAGACTCCAGCGCGATTGGTCAGGTGAGATCCGTGATTGAATGACAGCTTCTAGGTTCCGCCCCGGAACTGGGATTGGTGTGGTCTCTACTTAGAGTGGTAGAGGTCGTTTTTCGTCGCTGCAATGGGTGAGGAAGTGCTCGCCTCCCGTTTACCTGTTTTGGCGTGATTTTAGTGAGAAGAGTCGTGAAATTTAACAACTTGGCACAGTCACGGGAAACAGCCGGAGAATAGCACGGGAAACAGCAGACCGATCCCACTAAGGCTTTCAATCAGCCACAGCATGTGGGGCGCCAGGAGGTGCCGCGGGGTGCCGGGGATGTTTCACTCCGCCGTTCCGGGGGCCGGCCGAGCCCCTGCGGAGGTCTTCACGGTCAAGCACCTGAGCTGATCACTCCTCTTTATAGTTTAAGCCTCTTAGAGTTGACATCTTAATGGACAGAGAGGAAAACCAGCTTTAGTCACATGAAAACGTAATAACTGAAAGCGAGAGAAGAGGTGACGGTGACGTTGAGGATGGGGGTGAGGCTGGAAAGTGACAGAAGGATGCTGAAAGGAAACTGGCAGTCTCCCTTCTGGTGTCCTGTGAATTGAGGGCCTCCAGCTCTGGCCCAGAGATATAGGTTGGTGGTGTAATTCTGTTCTTAAGCATCCAAATGAGCTGCATTTCAGCAGTTGTGAAATGAGGGCTGGAATTTTACTGTTAAAAACAATAGCCTCAACAGAAAGGAACCGTTTCGTGTGGACACTTGAGAAACTGTAAAGTGTAAATTTCAAAAAGTTAATAACTTTATTTCTTCAGACACAAAGTTCTCAGCTCCATCTGCTGGTCTGAGGCTGAATAATTAATTGCAAAGCCAGGAGAACCTGAGTGTGGCTAGATTAAATGTAGTTTAACCTGTACTTTCTTGGTGCCCTTTTGGCTCCCTTTGCTTGCATTCCTGAGAACACTTGGCCTCAGATTTTAGGACAAGTTTAGATACTGGGTGGATTATTTAGGCCACCTCTCCCCCACTTCAGTTAAGTAGGTGGAAAGTTTGGATTATTAAAAAGATAAATTGAAGGCTGAGTAGAGAGGGTGAATGAGCATCTTTGGAGTAGTCACACTAAAATGGCTTTATAGACCCCGTGGTAGTGATATTAGGATTTATGGTACAAAATTCCAAGTCACAGCATCAATGGAAAGCAAATGAGAGTTGACTTACTGCCTGCCCAGTAGGCTGGGTGTTGTGCTGCTTTTAAAGTTTCCTCATTTCCCATCTAAGCCCTTTTTATATCTTTTGTATAACTCTTTGGGGGGAGGTATTGTTATTCTTGATTTTATAGATGAGGAGGCTAAGAGACAGGAATTAACTAACCCTAGAGTCACAGAGTCAATGGTTAGGAGAACATCTTTCCAGCTCCAAATCCTTTTAAAAACGTGGAGCTTGAGAGGCAGCAGAGCCTGCAGTAGAAGGGTAGGAGGGCAGGGACCTTTTAGGATTGTGTCTACAGCATCTAAAATTGTGTCTGACCCACAGCAAGGCTCAGTAAATACTGTTGGACTGAGCAGATAGGCCTGGGTTCAAATTATTGCTCCACAACCTTCCAGTAGTGATGTACCCTGCGCAGCATTCACTCTCCCTTTTCTCGGAGGCAACACTGGCTTTTATATCCTCTGTGTTCCTGGGGTTTAGGGAGGTTAGAGACCAGGCCCTGGCTCTAAGGGGCACACCACAGGCACTGTATGCCCTGAGCACAGTGGAGGGTGGTGGGAGGTTCATTTAGGGTCACTGAGTCTGGAGAAGGTATTTGCTGGGGGATTCTGGGAAAGGAGCTTCTTCTCTTTTCCCTTCTGGACCTTGCTGTGTGGATGGTGCTTCTGCAGCCATCTTGCTGCCCTGAGGGGAAACCTCTTGCCAATGAAGCAGACAGGAAATCAGAGCCTTGATGACTGTGTTGGGAATCAAATCAGCTCTTGAGTTTGGACTTTCCAGTTACAAATGCCAAGAAATCCTCTTTATTTTTTTATACTAAAGTTGAACATAAGCATAAAGTTACTTGCAACTTAACTAGCATGGCTTGGACTATTGGCAGGGTGACTGTGGCAAGCGAGTTAGCCTCTCTGGGGCTCAGCTGCCTCCTCTGTAGAATGGAGGCAATGATAATACCCATCTCCTCCAGCACTTGTGAGGAGCGAAGGAACAATGCATGGGACGTTCTTCACTCAGGTCTGAGCACGAAGTAGCATCCAGAGAGCAGAATTGTGCTTTGAATAATTTTGCATTGACAGCAACTTCCTTATTTGCCAACAATCCTTCCAACAATTGGCTTTTAAACTGGGGACAAGTGTATTGACAAATTGGTAGGATTTGTCACCAAATCACATGGGCACCTTCTGAAGATGAGCCCAGTAGCGTAAGCAACCATGGAGCCAGTGGTCCCATTTGCAGCATGGAGTCCGTCCAGTGAGGAAGGGTGCATCTGGTCATACCTGCAGAGTCTCTGGCAGCTCTGACCACAGCCTGACTTAAGGATCTTTAACTCCATAAACACAGGATTGAGCTTTCCCCCCATTGTCAATGTTGTTCCCCGGGGCAGGAGCTTAACAGCATTTGTTTGCCATGAGAGGCTGCGTGTGACTTGGAGCCAGTTGATCTACAGTGATGGCTGGCAGTTGTGTCTCTAAAGCACTGCCACAAAAAACACATCTTCTCCTCTCAGCCTCTCTGCCTCATCAGGATTGCCTGAGCTGCTGTTGGATCAGGGCGAGTTGGGACTGTATTTTTGGGAGGTCAGTTGGGTACCTGACTTTTAGGGGAACTCTAAGGGCCTTGGAGGAAGCACAGCCTATAGGGTCAGACAACGTTTTGTGAATTCTGAACTTTGCCTTCTCTGTCACTCGGTTACTGTGTCCATAACATGGGAGTGTGAACACTGTAGACATTAAATGGGAGTGCATCGAGGAGGCACCTTCTGAAGCATTTGCCCAGTCTGAGATGGTGCCTTTTGCCTGAGAAGGTTATAAGGATCCCTGCTGACCAGGCCCCAGATAGCCCTCTCCCCAGCTCAGCACCCAGTCATCTGGAGTTGTGGGAGGGGTCAGATATGGCTACAGAACTTCTGTGTAACTAAATACAGACATTTATCAGGGTTCTTTGCATGTAACAGAAACTAATTTTGGCTAATGTAAGCCAGAGGGTATTTAACAGAAAACTTCCGGGTGCTTGCAGACTTGACAGCAGGCACTGGTAAGGCTGCTTCTGGGGTTTGGGAACAAGGCCTGGGCAGCAGGTGCTTCCAGAGCTGTGTTCTACCGATGGAGCTGTTACCAGCTTCCAGCCCCTGAGATTCTCCATGCCTGTCCAATTCCCAGGAGAGAGAGTTGGATTGACACAACTCCAGTCATATGCCACCACCTGTTGGCCAGGAAGACTGAGGGAAGACTCACTGGGAAGTTTCCCAAAGGAAATGAGGTGGGAGTACTGCTCCCAAAGGAAGGGGCAAGCGATTCCAGGAAGGCAGGAAGAACTGAGGCTCAAAGCTGAGGAGCTGAGCTGTGGCCATGAGCACAGACAGGACAGAATGAAGCAGAGGCAAAGGCCACGTGACCAGAAAGAGTGGGGAGAGAGGGGCGAGCTGGGCTGAGACACGCACGCATGCACACTCACATTCACACACTCACACTCACACACGTGCATTCACACACAGGTATACACTCCCATGCTATGGAGAGTGACTCCTTTGATTCTCAGTGGTTTTTTGTTCCTTATTAATGGCAGATTTTATTTTCTAAAAATGGCCACAAAAATAGTTCCAGTCCCGCCTGCTCTTGCAGAACCTTACATTACCACCCCCTCGTTAGGAGGTGTCAGGTCATCCTCTCCCTTGGATCAGGAAGCCTGTGTAAGTGTGTGAGCTCAGAGGAAATAGTGCTGCATAGCTGCTGAGGTTAGTCTATAAAAGGAGAAACAGCCTGTGCCACTCACTTTAGGTGTGCACATCCTTGGAACCCAGCACTGTGCTGTGATTAATGCCAGCACCCAATCGTCAGCTGTAGTTACATTGGAAGTAGACCCTCCAATCTTTTGTTTGGGCAGAAATGAGCCTGCCCTGCTGACTCCTGCCCAAATTGCAGGTTATAGGTTTGTGAGCAAGAGAAATAATTGCTGTCCCATTAACCCATTAAATTTCTTAGTGGTCTGCTTTGCAGTAAGAGAGCCAGAGTTTCTATTCATTGCTGTCCTTCTCCCAGTCCCTGCTGCAATCCTGCCCCAAGGCTTCAGGGCAGAGGCTAGTGCTGACAGTATCTCCTTTTAAATTTACGTCAGTATGAATTGGGTTTGCCACTTGCTGCTAAAGGAACCTTGAACACAGGGCCCCACGGGGCCTTACGAGGTGATGCCACCACAGTCCTGAGGTTGGCTCCTTCTTAATCTCTGAAAAATCTCTGTTGGCCAGAGAAAGAGTCACAGGAATCAGGGCACAAGGTTGCTCTTCAGAGCGGGGTGTTGGTTGGTCAGCTATGGCCAGAACCAGCTGCCCAGGGACAGCATGGTTTCTCTGTGAGCAGGTGCAGCGGAGCCGCTGCAGGGCAGGACAAGGAAACACGTTGATGGCATGGCCCCAGTGCCAACAGGGCCTGAAGGATCTGAGTTCTCAGTAGGGAAAGTGTCACCAGGAAGACCCGATACCCTGCAGGGAGCCCATAGCTCCCTTCCACCAACCCTGCCCACATTTGCCCCTGTGAATTACTTCAGCCCTCTTTTTGGGTGTTCACACGCTGTGGTGGTAGATACCTCAAGCCGTTCATTCACATCAGAGCTCGTGTGTGGGCCAGGGGGCTCCTTTCTCTTAAAGGCATCATTGCATATGTCTCCCCCAACCAATGTCTTGCTTTTAACTCTCATGGACAGTCTTATTTCTCGGCGTCTAAGCAGGTTTTATGAGTTAATGTGTATGAAGTTCATGTATTAGTTTGGATTTTATAAGAAGGAGACTTGGAGCAGTGATTCGATACAAGTCATTGGTTTTTTAAGGTATGGGGATGTGGGGAGTTGAGATCAAGGAAAGGTAGATGGATTATTCAGGCAGCCATCGCTGGGTGACTAGAGCCTAATCATGTTGTGAAATTCAGCATAGAAAACATGCTTCAGAATTCTGTGTGAGGGAGCTGGGGTATTTACACACCAAGTCCAAAGAGTTGAGGGCTGCTGGGAAGGGTGTCATTTTCTTGTCTGGCAGGAGGGGTGCAGAAGCTTTTTTCCCAGAGCCATGGGGAAAAAGGCCCTTAAGCATTTGGAAATCAACTGGAACTCACTAAAAAAGGCAGTCCCAGGCCTTGGGCAGGCACTGATGGTGTGAACCACAGTGGCATCGTAAATGGCTGCACAAGCAGCCCCTGCATGGCCCAGCACACTCAGTGTCCTTCACAGGTGACCACTTGGTGGCTATGGGCACAGCCTCTAAGGTGGCTGTTGCCATCAGACACCCAACCATGCAAGCCAGCTGCAGATCTGGGTGGGGAGGGGTTGTGTACCTTATTAAGCCAAAGCTGATGACGCAAAGGAAAAGTAAGATGTCTTGTGATCTCTGACTTCAGTGAGCCAAACTTGGAGTTGAGGGCATGACATTTATAAACATG